CAGCATCTTAGCTGTAGAGGGCAGTGTCACTGGCCCTCATATGTGGGATCCGAACCGGGGCCCTCTGGCATCCCAAGCCAGCTCTTAACCAATGTGCGTCTCGGCTGGCTCATCTTATTTTCTAAATATATGAGGTTTTCTAGATTTCTGTTGTCATTGATTTCTAATTTGATTATACTGCAATTAGAAAATGTGATCTAAATGATACCAATCCTTTGAGGTTTTTAAAGACTTCTAATGGTTAAATTTTGTAAATGGTTCCTATGTACTTAAAATATTTTTTTTATATCTACTTTAGTAATGGTGGTGGAGTAGGAAGTTGAAACTAGTCATCTTGAGAACAACTAGAAGGTCTAGACAAAATACAAAACAAACACCTGAATGTTTTAGAGAGCTAATGAGCAGTGGAAAATCCAGAAAAAGGGAAAAACAGAGCTTTGAATTTAGCACTTATAATAGCTTTTGGTCTGGGTTATCTGCTGATTCTGGAGAAGATGGCTGAGAAGCTGAACAGTTTCTAACTAACTCACAGTTAAAAAACAAAAATGGTGGTTCAGGGCCTGCTCTATAGGTTTCAAGTAAAGATCTATACCTTGGGAAAAAGTATGAACTAGAAATAGACTTGTTCAAAATCCAATCACCTCAATCACTGAATGATTAAGGTGATTTTTAGATTACTCGTGCCCAAAGCCTAAATCCTTTCCGCAGAAAATATCATTTTAGACTCCAAAGTATAATTTTTTCATATACTAGCTCTGGCAGTCAATCAAAAATAACATAACATAAATTAACAAAATTTTATAGATAAAAATATATAAATAAAAAATACATAATATAAAATAGTTTAGGAGACATAAAATAAGACAATATGATAAACAACCATGACAAAGAAACAAAGACGCTTCAGACTATAGCAGACCTCCTAGTTTACTAGACACACGTTATAATTATGCTTAATGTTTGAGAAAATAAAGTATCAGATTGGGATAGATAACTGAATAGATAACTGGAACTATAAAACAGAACCACAAATAAATGCTTGAACTGACAACAACCAGAAGATAAAAACTGAAATAAGTCCTTTAACAGATATGTTTAACTGGAGATTAGAGACTATTAAAAAGAAAACAGTGAACTGAAAAACAAGTAAGAATTATCCAGAATGAACCACAGAGAGACAAATGAATGGAAACATAAGGGAAAAAGTGAAATGATCTTACATACATTTATGTGGAGTACCAGAATGAGGAGAGAGGGGAGAATGGTGCAAAAGCATTATCTTGTGAAATAAGAGCTAAGAATTTTCCAAAATAAAATGATATCTACATTCCAGATTCAAGAAGCATCACAAACCTCAAAAAGAAAACAAACACAAAGAAACAAAACAAAAAAAAAAAAGAAAAATACATTTAGTCATATCATAATAAAACTGCTTCAAATTTAAGGCAAACATTGAGAAGCAACCAGAGGAAAAAAGAGATTACCTTTAAAGGGGCAAAAGAAAAAGTGACATTTCTCAAAAAAATTATGGAAGCCAAAAGCAATGGGATGTATCTTCAAAATGATAAAATGGCTGCTAATCCAATAAAAACGTTTTTTGAAACGCAAAGTGAAATACATAGGTTGAGGATACAAAAACTGAATTTGTCACCAGCAGACATTTACAAAGGAAATACTGGAGCATATTCTTTAGGCAGAACTATGATCCCAGACAAAGTAAATTTTTGAATAAATATAAAAGTGTATTAATTATATTAAAAAGGGTCTTAAAGAATTTAGAAAATATATATTAAGTATACACAATGTATATAACATGAGGTGAAGTGGTAACTAAATGAAGTTGAAGTCCTTACATTGTCCAGGTGAGGTATAATACAAATTATTAAAATATAGAACTGTCAAGTTTAAGGGGTGTGAGAACTGGAGAAAGTAAAAATAACCAATCTAAAAGAAGGCATAAAAGGAGAAAATCAACATAGGAGAGATGGGACAAACAAAAGCAAACAATATGATAGTTGATTTAAATCCAAGTATATTAGTAATTGTCTTACATGTAAGCAGAATAAACATCCAGTCAAAATATAAATATCAAGATAGATTTAAAAATATATTATTTCATATTAGTCCTTAGGTTAAAACACTTTTTCCATTGCATCTAGAATAAAATCCAAACCTTTTCCTGGCTTTCAATGCCAACATAATTTAGCCCTTTCCTACTCTCAAACTTGTTCTTCTTTTAGTCACCATGCTCCAACCAGGCAGCATTCTTTTGGTTCCTGGATTATTCAAGCTAGTTTATGTCTTTGGGTTTTGTATTATTGTCCGCTTTGCAAGTGATGGTTTACCTAATTTTTGCAAAGCTGGTCTCCTTGTCAAAAGCAGCTTAAATGGCATTTTCTTAGATTTCCCGTCACCTAATCTAAAAGTCATCTATTTTTTCTGACGAAAATTAGATTTTCTTTATATTTTTATTGCTTATTTATGGCCTATTACCACTAAAAGGTGAATTCACTGATAGCAGGGACCATGCCTACTCTATTTATCACAGTTTCCCCCAGTCTAGAACAGTGACTGGGATAAGTAGATGCTAAATTATTATTTAATGAGTGAATGAAGCTACTTGAGGTTTTAAACCGATAGGTACTTTCTTATGGTTTTGTATGTTTAATGCTCTTGGTAATGTTTAAAGACTTCCCTGATACCAAAAGGTATCAAATGATATCAAGATCCCATTTATGTATATTAGTGATCCTTGCAAATGTGCACTGCATAATTTGCATAAAATTTGCAGGAGTTATTCTAACAATTAATCAGATATGTGGTGTAGTCCTAGATATAACTATGATAACATGTAAAAAAGGGAAAGTTCAGAGAAAGGCTACTGAATTATTAAGGGTTGTAATATGCTTCTGAAGAACATGTTCATTTTTCCTAAATTATAAAAATGAAAATAATATAGGTGCATGTTACAAAGCATACATAATTGTTAAAAAGCTCTTTTCATTCATTAAGTAAAAAAAAAAAAATACATTTAAAAAAAATTACCCCCTTACAGAAAGGTTGTTTTATTAGAGTGGTAATTCCTGGAATGGTGATTGATATATTTTGGTTACTTCTTTTTTCACTCTGTTCTGTGCTTACGATATTTTTCACATCAAAGCAATCATACTGGTCACAATTTTGTATCCTGTTCTTTTAACTTTAGAAAAGAAACATTTTCCATAAGACTAGTTTAATGGTTTTTAAAAAATAGCTATAGTATATTTCACTAAGCATACATGATAGAATTTGACCAATCTCTAATTGTTAAAGAGTGTTCCTAATTTTTTACCTAATTATTGCTACAACTAACATTTTTGTCCATAACATTCATTTAAATGGTATTTCTTAAGGGGAAAGAGGCAGACAACACAAAAAGAAGGTCCAGCTCTCTAGGCATTAATGTCTAATTAGGGAAACAATATACATTGGAGAGAAGACTACAAAGGCACTGTATATAAGAATGCATATAATAAATCATATTTATTAAAGTTAAGAAACGTAGTGAAAATTTCTTCGAAGGAGGAGCTAATAAGAAAAGCATTTTGCAAAGAACATGGAGCTGAACTTGGAAAAAGTGATGTCTTAATGGTTGAAAATGTTCCAGGCTGGTGTGGTGTTGGAAGAGGTAACTTTTTGTTGGTGTTCTTTTGTATTTAAGAACAGTTCTCATTCAGGAAGCTCTCAACACAAAGCTCTAATAATAAGCAACCAAGATTTTTATCGAGGATTGGACTCCTCCTACCCACCTTGCCCCAAACTACCAAATTTCTTTTTAATCTCCATCATCCAGATCTTTTTTCCCTTTCATAATTCTCCCCTTTCTTTATATTTTTGTCAAATACTCTCATCTATTTTAAGTAATGGAAACAGGTAAATCCCTCTACTGAAAGGCATGTAACTAATACAAAACATTATAATTATTCTGTGGGACAAAAAGGAACTTGGAAATGCTGTGTTAAAACATATATTGTATGCATTTCAATCTTTAAAAAACATTACTTATAAGACTATTCACAGTGTAATAGAAATAAGAACATTAAAGGATATTAGCCAAAAGTTATCAACTTGCCATACACCAAATAAGGAACACAACCATGATCTCTGAAAAATAATAAGATAACAAGTACTGTGATTTCCTTTCATGGTTTTACTCTGGCAGGAATGGATTCCACCCTGATAATAATTCCAGTCTTCCTGTCACTTAGGAGGAGATGCTTTGTGAACCTCAATGAGGCTGCCAGGGTTAGGACAGATGTAAGAACCACAGTGTCAGATACAAAAGAGAAAGACTTCACAAGATGTGTTGTCACTGACAGACTGATAGCCACTTTCCTTCTGCACCTTTTCTTCAAGGATAGCAAATGCTTCCCACAAATACACCAGCAGATGACTCCAACTCCTCCACACTTACCATTTGCAGATGCCCTGGGGCTGGCCTATTTACAACCTAGTCCTCCAACAGCAGAAGTGGGACCCTCAGGGAAGTTCTGAATTCCTCCAAGGCAGGATGTTTCACAAACTATTTCGCAGCCTCACTCCACCTCTAGCTGTTTCCAATATTAGTACTTATGATTCCTATATCTTCTCTGATTATTAAGCTATTAATCCACCCACAAAACACAATTTAAAGTAAAAACAACCTACGCTCAGTCCCTAGCTCCCCCCCCCCCATTATAAAGCAGCTGCCCTGTACATGCTTCTTTTGGATGGCTCATAACTGATTCCCTGGGTCTTTTGACCATTTATAGCTTGGCTGTTATGCTCTGCAGGTAGTCTGATAAGGAGGGTGAGACATAACATGTATGGCCACCTTTACCTGGCCAACCTCCTAGTGTCCCTCCCCAATTCCAGCTTTATGACAAAACTAGACACTAGGGCAAAGAGAGAGCCCACAGATGAAACTGCAGATAGTCTTGACTTAAGCAAGGATCCCCAAGTTGTGAGATTAATTTCTGGGATAAAGGTGCTCTGTGTATTCATTTCAAGTCTGCTTCCAGTGCCATGTCTTATTAGAGTCAAATAAAAACGCAGCGAGTTGATGGGTACAGATTTTTGGAAAGAAACAACATAAGGTTAAGAGCTATATGGGCGTTTCACTTTCTTCCAGCTGATAACGTATTTTTTAAACTAAAAGGAAACCGTCCATATTGTAATGTATTAAGTAGGCAGAATCCTCTTCCTGGTTTCTCTGCTCTTGGTAGACGTTCTTCTGGCTTCAGCTGGCATCTGTGAATAGTGAAGAAACTTCTCACGATCAAATTTCACTTCCCTGAGAAAAAGTGGAGGGTGAGGACCCACTGATGCAGGGAGCAAAAACGACAGAGACAAGTCTGTGGAGATCGATAGTCTCCAAGAAGGGCTAGCCAGAAAACGAGAAACTAAAACGAAAAAGGGCGTAGCTGAGCTGAGGTAAATACTGTGTTGTCTCAGCACGAGCACGACCTAAGTAAGAGGTTTTCTCCCTGCCTAAATCTGCTGGGCCTGGGGTCAGCTCCAACCGCATTCACCAACCTGAGCCTCCATCACCTTCCAGGATGAGGATGCCCTCTTACCCAAACCACCCAACCTACCTCTGCATCCTCGCAGGCGCAGCAACGGCGCGCCGCCCGCCCACCTACCTGTGCTGCGCCTGCGCCTCCCCGGCGTGCTCTCAAGGTCAGTACCGCCCCCAGTCCCTAACCTAGCACCCACGGAAGTGGCAGTAGAGGACGTCTTGCGTATCCTTACCTCTACGTGGCGTGGGGTCGCCGGCGCTCAGGAGAGGGGTGGGACTTCCTGTCCCGCGCAGCAGAACTTCCGGCAGAGCCGGAAGATCCTGTTCTTAGCGTTATCGAGAGGTTCCCGGCTGCAGGGTCAGGACGGGGGGGTCCGGGACTCTCCAGGCGACTCCAGGGCTTCGTGTCCACCACCTATCCTTGGCGCCATGGTGAGTCCTTCTGTGAGGGCTGGAGTAACAACAGTGGGGAGAAAGGGGCCGGGAGGTCAGTCCTGTGAAAGGAACCGGTCCGGTGCCCAGCTGAGGATGGAGCAGGCGGGAGCAATGGGGTGAGCCGCAGGGTAAGACCCACCAACTAGTTGCCTTGGAGCCCCGGAGCGCCTGGGCCCCTGAAGAAGCGGCATCTGCCCTGCCCAGTCGCGCGTTCTGTCCAGGAGTACGGGAGTAGGTGGCCAAAATGTTGGCCCATTCACTGTGTACAGCGCGTGGCGCTAGGTGGTCTCATAGTTGACCTTGCCCGGTTGATCATCTCTCCCTTCTTAGCTTCGGGGCAGTGGCCAAAAGCCCTGGTCTTAGAAATAAATGCCTTTAGCCTTTCTAGGCAGACAAAACTGGATCCATTTCTGTAGAGAATCAACACCTGTCACTTACTTAAACGGCAAGGTCAGCTTACCTTTCAAACTCAGCCCTTTTGGAATTGGAAAGGGTGTCAAATAAAAAATTCGGGCTTAGTAAGAAAAGACTATTTGGAAGGAATACTGCAAGAGCGTGGGGGAAGGGACTATTACAATAGGGAGAATACTCTGACCTTAAGATCTGCATGAGTCTCAAAGGTTTGGCAAAAAGGATTTTTTTCCTCTTATTGGGAGGAGTAAACAAAGCTAAAAAGAACCAGGTGTGGGTAAGTGAAATTAAAGGGTAGTGGGATTGGATAGTAGTAGATCAGATTGTTTTACCCTCAGGAGGAGCTGTTACGGAGGAGTTATATGCTGTATGAGACCGGGAGGGGGAATGGAGGGGGGGGCACGGACCTGGGGGAAGAGGATCTTGACCAGAATTTGGGTAAAAAACATTTTGTTCCTATTGATCTATGGGGACTAGCAGTTCAAGTAGTCATTTATGATAAAAAGAATGTGCATTTGCAGCTTTGTGTCTAGCTTTGTCATAGGTAGACAAGGGAGGCATCAGTGAGTCTTACCTAAGTCCTGTGGTTCTTTGCAGTAAGTTTTTTCTAGGACACAAAAGGGTGGGGAGGGGGGACTTTATTAAACTTTGCTGTTTTCCAGCCTCTCAGGGGACTGGTAAAATTCAACATTGTCAGTTACTTGACTTTATAAAAGATTTAAAATCCTCATCTGGAGGGGATTCTTTCTTGGAATTTAGTGTCAGTTTGCCGTACTTTTTCAGGACCAAATGTTGACATCACTCAGCTATTGTGTATAATGATTGACTTTTGAATGACTTTCAGAAACTTGACTGAATATGAAACAAAAGAACCTCCAAATAATGTGGTTCCTAGTGCACTCTACTATGCTATGACTACTAACCTATGACTCTGTTGACCACTGTGTGTTTTAACCTTAGTGAATAATAGTACATTATTCACATACTATAATTTGTATTATTATTTTTTCTTTTGTATCAGTGAAATTAGACAAAGACAGGGAACAGTAGAACAGGAAGGAACCAAAGATAAAAATTAGCCTAACTACTTTGCCCACCACCAATTTCTCAGAAGGAAGGATCTGAGTTTTAGAAATAGGCAGTGATTTACTTAAGGTAACAGTGGTTTAGCATAGTTTGTACTAAAACTCAGATCTACACTTCTTAAATTTAAGCTCAATTTTTGACCTCTTGGTCTGAGAAGTTGAAGATAGAATGTAATTAAAATCCTTGAACTCATAAATAGTCACAGAGAAGATGAATGTGAACTTATTCCCAGTATTCTGTGAACTTATTCCCAGTATTCTGTGAACTTATTCCCAGTATTCTTTAACACTAAATAGCAGTAAAACCCCTCTCCCTCTGACAGCTCAAAAGAGGTAGTTTTGTTTTAAGCTAAGATAAACAAACTCATGCTGTTTTTCAAAATATCACTTAAGAGAATGTCACCAGGAACCAAGTACTTGACGCTTTCCATTCTGGTATTGCTTATATTCCTAAGTTAATTTACTTAATCCTGCTTTAGCTTTCCCAGCTATGAAATTGATAGTGTCTGTGTATGTGTGAGCAATGCTTGGAATCCTCCAAATGAAAGAGTTTAGCCGTTAAATGAAGTCAACAAGAATTGAATTTAATTTAGGATGCAGCTTGGTTGAATTGAGAGCTTTTGCACTGCTTGGCCTAATATAATGAAAACAATGCAATACTTGAGCTCAGAAGACCCAGGTTCTGCCCATTATTAGTTACATGAATATGGCAAAATCACCCAACTTAGATAAGAGTTCCAATTTCCTCCTAGATAAGAGATGTGGGACTTGATGGGGATTAAAAATTAAAACACCTTTTAACTCATTTATGATTCTGTGACTTGACTCAGTACTTTTTTCAGAATAGGTACATGTTTCTGATTAAATAAGGTTTAGTCTGTTTTCCACTGTGTTTTTCTTTGGTGTTTGATTTCTGAAGTTTGATTTCTTTTATCATTCTTTTAATTTTTTTATACATTGTGTAGGTGATACTTGAAATATTTGTCCATAGAATTGGTATAATTCCTTTGACCCATGTGTTTGGCCATTACTGTCTCAATACTACCGTATTTCCCCATGTATAAGACGCTCCCATGTATAAGATGCATCTTAATTTTGGGGCCCAAAATTTGAAAAAAAATGTATTACATAAAATTATTGAACTCAAGTTTTATTCATCATAAAATTCATACAACTCCTCATCACTGTCAAAACTCCCAACCATTAGCTTGTCCTCATCTGTGTCTGATGACGAATCATCGTTCTCAGTTCCATCTACGGCATTTGAAATGCCACACTTCTTAAATGACTTGACAGCGATCTACAACCACTGTATAAGACACACCCAGTTTTTAGATCCCAAATTTTTCGAAAAAGCGTGCATCTTATACATGTGGAAATACGGTACTTCAAAATAGGAAACAAAGCCTTGGGACACCTTGATTTTATTTTTGTTTTAATTGATATAAACTCATTCTTTTCTCTTACTCTGATACATTATATAGTTCAAAACACAGTAAATGCTTGTGCATGCAATAAGGTTCTCCTTTTTTTGAGCAAATGACAATGGTATGATCCAGACTGAATATACTGAGTATTCACTCTTAATTTTTTGCATCCATGTTGTGAAAGTGGATAATCTGTAGAATTTACTAAAGGAATAAAACTGTGTTTTATACTTTTCTTTTTGAAAATTACAGACCAACTTTAATCAAATAGATCTTTCCACCATCAAGGCTGATTTGTGAGAGAAAAGTAGATTAGAGCTAGCCCCTGGAATTGCAAGTATCTCATGGCTTGATTTATCTATAAAGCATCCTTTGGTAACTTTTCCTGCTGTATTGAGTTATGGTTTATTGGTGGTGGTGGTGGTGGTCTGGGCGGGGGCGTTGTGAACCTCTGCTTTAGAGTTAATGAGAAAGTTTTCCTTTTGGTAGGTGGGAAGGGTGTTGGGAAGAGTATGTGGTAAATGTTATAAGAGACATACATGTAATGTGCTCAAAGAGTACAGAGGGAAGAAATTCTAAATGGGGGCAGAGGGTTATGTAGTAGGTAACTTCAACTGAGTTTTGAAAAGTGAGTTCGGGAACCAGTTCTTAAATTTGAGTTTGCATAGGATTCACCTGTGATGCTTGATGAAAATGCTTATCTGGGCCTTGGTTTTGGGGGGTGGAGTTTCAGAATCTTATTTTTAATGAGTTTTACAGTTAAGTCTGAAACTGCTGGTCCTTATACTTTGAGAGAACTGTAATACAGACATTAGAGACTTTTATAAAGATATTGGAGGTTTTTGTGCTTAGTGATAATCAGACATGTTCAGCTTGTATGTGTGGTGGATTACTTTGATTGATTTTTGAATGTTGAACTAACTGCGCATACCAGGAATAAATCCCACTTAGCCGTGGTGTGTGAATCTTGGTATGCATTGTTGGATTTAATTTAATATTTTGTTTAGAATTTTTTTGCATTTATATTCATGAGAAATGTTGGTTTTTAGGGGGTTTTTTTTTTCCTTGTAGTGTCTGACTGGTTTTGGTATGACAGTAATGCTGGCTTTAAATGCTGGCTTTATAGAATTGGTTAGGAAGTGTTCCTTCTGCTTCTATCCTCTGAAAGAGATTATAATTCCTTACTTAAATGTTTGGTAGAATTTACCAGTGAACTTATCTGAGCCTGGTGTGTTCTGTTTTGGGAAGTTATTAATTACTGATTCAATTTCTTCAATAGATACCCACCTATTCAGATTGTCTCTTGTGTCAGTTTTGGCAAATTGTGTTTTCCAAGGAATTGGTCTGTTTTGCCAAGGTTATAAGATTTGTGGCACGGACTTGTTGTTAGTGTTCCTTTATGAGCATTTTAATGTTCATGGGATCTGTAATGATGTCCCCTCTTTCGTTTCTGCTATTAGTAATTTGTTTTCTTCTTATTTTTCTTAGTTATTCTGGCTAGAGCCTTATTTATTTTGTTGATCTTTTTAAAGAAGCAGCTTTGGGTTTCATTAATTTGTCTCTTTATTTCCTGTTTTAAATTTTATTGATTTTTATTTTTGCTCTAATTTTTATATCTTCTGCTTACTTTGGATTTTATTTGCTCTTTTTCTAATTTCCTAAGGGGAAACATTGGGTGATTGATTATAGATATTCTTTTCTAATATATGAATTTGATGTTATACATTTCCCTCTAAGCACTGCTTTTGCTGCATCCCATAAATTTTGATGTTATGGTTTTTTTTTTTCATTTAGTTCAAAGTGCTTTTAATTCCTCTTGA